CCTATGATGCTGCTTAGCCTGCTGTGTTCATCCAGCTCTGCACCTTGTTGTCTCGGATTCTCCAGCATCTGCACTTCCTACTATCTCTGATTCAATTACTGAGGACATGGGTTTAAGATAAAAGGGGGCTAAGTTTAAAGGTGATTTCAGAGCCAAGTTATTTATACATAGGGTGGTTAGTGCCTGGAGTGCGCTGCCAAAGGCAGATAAATAGCAACATTTAAGAGGCATCTTGACCAAGAAATGGAATAGGAAGGGAATTAACGGATACCCTAAAACTAAGACTTCTTGTGATTGACCCCTCAACGAAGGAGAACAGTTGCTCTCTATTCACCCTGTCCATACCCATCATAATTTTATATACCTCAATCATGTCCCCTCTCAGTCATCTCTGCTCTAAAGAAAACAAGCCTATCCAGTCTCTCCTTACAGCTCGATTTCCATCAGCTCCGCCCTCTGCAACCGGATCCTCAACTTTCTGACCCACAGGCCGCAATCAGTGAGGATAAGTAGCTGCACCCCCTCCACAATAACATTCAACACTGGAGCCTACAAAGGATGGGTCCTCAGCCTCCTACTGTACTCCCTGTACACCTTTGACTACGTTGCCAAATTCGTTCGCTGACAACACCACCATAGTGGGACGGATATCTAATAACGATGAGTCAAAATACAGAAGGGGGATAGAGGGCTTGGTGACGTGGTGCAATGAAAACAATCTGTCTCCGAACGTCAGCAAAACTAAAGAACTGATCATTGACTTCATAAAGAAAGGAGGAGAACACGCCCCCATCCACATCAATGGAACACCGTTTTTTCATTGTAAAATGTGATACACAAACAACAAAACACAAGACTTAAATCCATTCATCCTTCCTCACCCCTCATACAACCTTTTACAGTCTTAGCATTCCTTAAGCCTTCAATTTATTCTAGCATTTTACACTCAGGACAACATATCTGCAACCTTTTCTAGTAATGAATATATTTTCAAATGGTGTTTCATCTTGTAAGGGTGGAGGTGCTGGTGTTGGTCTGGGATGGACAAATTCAGAAGTCACACAACATCAGGTTATAGTCCAACAGGTTTATTAGAAATCGTAAGCTTCTGATTTCAAATAAACCTGTTGGACCACAACCTGCTCTTGTGTGACTTCTGCCTCTGTCAGTAGACAGTTGAGGTTGCTTACGGAGTGGGAGAAAATTATCTTACGAGGTTACACGGTGTAGAACTGGATGAACACAGCAGGCCAGGCAGCATCAGAGGAGCAGGAAAGCTGAGGTTTGGGTCTGGAACCTTCAGAAAATTTTCTGATCTGAAGAAGGGTCCAGACCCAAAACATCAGCTTTCCTGCTCCTCTGATGCTGCCTGGCCTGCTGTGTTCATCCAGTTCTTACATCTTGTTATCTCAGACTCCAGCATCAGCAGTTCCTACTATCTCTATCTTACGAGGTTCTTGCCTTGTGTACAAAGATAACAGGTATTACCTGCAATTTAATCCTGCTACTTACTGATCTCTCTGCTAATGGAAATTGGTTCTTTCCTATCCACTGCATCCAGGACCCTCATGATCGTGTACACCACAAATTCAATCACCCATAGTCTCTTCTGTTCCAAAGAAATCAACTCCAGCCTATCCGTCTTTTCCTCATCATGTAAGTCCGTGGTAACATCTTTTCAATTCTTCTCTGTTCCTTTTAAGTGAGATTTCTTGAAATAACTGCAATACTCTAATTGCAGTTTAACTTGTGTTTAATATAGCTTATTATGGAGTGGGAGAGATGTGGGATAATTGTATCCTTTTCTTACATCTTGAGTGACCGTAATTGGATGTATTAGAGGAGGAATGTTTTAATTCCTTGACTTTAAAGAGGTCATTTTAATGAACAGTCAGGAATCAAGATTTCTTTCAATTTTAAACCAAAAAAGGGTAAATGTTTATTTCTTACAATTCTTAAATGTAATCATAACAACTCACTCACTCTCACACGCACAAATATGATTTATAAAGATGTAACATGCACTTGTATTACAAACACACTCCTTAGATGATGGGTGAAATATTGCAGGCCTGAAGGATTTTCATTTGGTTAGCAGAAGGCAAAGGAGGTTGGAAGTTACAGCTTTTCAGTCAAAATTACAGTTAAGCCTCTCTAATGAAGAAACATCAGCCTATATCTATCAGGCTTCAGATCATCAGACCAGGTATCTTGGTCCTCAAATATTCTTTCCCTCAGTCAGCTGAAACTGAGTTGACTCATTAAAGGCAATGAGGAACGTAGTATACATCCTTTGAAAGGAATTGCCTAGATATGAATGGTTCATATTTTCTGCGATGTCTCAATCCACTATGGCAGTGTGTTGGAAAACAAGACCCAATATTCCCAGAGTCACAAATGTGAAGGTTTGATTATAGCATAAGCCCCAATTTTCATGACTTATGCTATACAGGATAAAAGCAAAGCATACCAGGTACTTCAGTAGCAATAAAAATAATTGTTTATTGTAACACTCTTAACTTTAACAAGAACAGCATAAGGACAAGGTATCTAATGTACGTATATCAAACTTGAACTTCTTTAAAAGCCACATGCACAAACAAAGGAAAACAAAAACAGACCAAACACAACTATTAAGTGGAGGGGGAAAATAGTCAGGAGAACAGAGTTCTGTATCACCAGTCCAAAATCCAAAACTAGATGAGTTAGTTTCACAATGCTTTTTCTTTCTTGCATGATGCCTCAACCTGATCTACACAGTGATGATCAGATTTTAGTTCACTGGTTGCTTGGTTGAACTTGGGGTCTTTCTGGTTCTCTTTAGGTTTTATAATTTATTTCTTTAAGCATGTCTGAATGTATTTTCTTCTGCTTGTTTGACAGAAAATTGGAGGGAGCAATTTTACAGAGAGAAGAGAAATAAATTGCTACAACTAACTTCTGGAGGTCTTCTTACTTCTCTCAGTTTCACTCTCCTCACAGAGTTTGTGTTACGCTGCATCCTGACCAATTAGAGGGTTGTTGCCATGTTGAGCTTTCCAGAACTCATAACAAATGCTGCCAGATTGTCCGGTCTCAATGGTCTCAAAGAGTAACATTACTTCATATGTCCCATTTAGTTTCACTCATTTTTCCAAAACGATGAACAACTCCATGTACCCTCTCACCTTTTAAAGGGAGCGTCCAATTTTTTTTCTCATTTTCAGTCTATTGTCTAAAAATATGCTGCCTCCTGCAAGGATCTCACTAGATCTGATTTGACAGGTGGTGGTGATGTGGTGTGGGACCTATTTGGAAAGGAATCATAGTTTGAGAGGTCACTGGATCATCAAGAGCACTATGTTTCTTCAGTGTAAATGAGCTTCTTCTGTACAACCACAGCAGCGCTGACAACAATCCAGTAGTGATAAACAGAGATTGAACCGGCCTTGATGGGCCAACAGTGAATATGGATTAAATCAGGTGAAAATCGATGATTCAGTTAACTTTGTCTCTGTTGCTTTTGATGTGTAAGGAGGTCACAAAGATTGCAGAGATATTTAACCAGTACCCTCAGGTACACCTTCAAATTTCTCAAACCCATTCCAACACAATTCTTAGCTCCAAAGGGTTTACGCTCATATCTTTTCTACCCCAGCTTCTAATGCTGAACTCCAGAAATGCCTTTCACAGTGAGAGCTATTCCTGCTCATTCTCCTTCCAGTGCAAGCTCAGTCTCATTTCAAATCTTCACCAATTTGGTCTTTCAAGCAGAGCTTGAGTTCCCAATTGCATTCCTGCACAGTGAACCACAGACTTTTGCTTTTAAGCTGCCATTTCTTTGGAATCCTAGCAAGCAACCAGCGTCTGAGAGTTTCAGGGTATCTTTGAAATTCTTCTCCCCCTTCTAAGCCTATCTCCATGACAACGTGAATCACACAGCCTTTGTAACCAGGGAGAAATGCTGATTGATGAGATCTCAACTCTCTTTTAAACACTGTAAAGCCTAGCGGTTTACAATGTAAACACTTCCCTGGAACTTAGCAGATGATGAGTAAACACAATTGCTGCTGCTGACATTGGATCCCAATGTGAACACCTTGCACCTTCTTTTCAGCAAAACAACATGGGCCTCTCTTTAATCTATGATGGCCACATCATCAAGGTATGTTGTTATGCAGACTTCAGAACAGGTCACCTAACCTCTTCATTTTAAAGGCATAGTCCCAAAACGTAGTATAACAAAATCTTGCATTTGTAGCATCCTGCAGTCATATTATGATCATTGTGCCATCATCTTTATGTCACAACGCAAACATTCTTTTTAGATCCATCACAACCACAGTTACCAGATCCAAGACAGTGACTTTACTAAAGTTACTGTTCGTGAAAATAAGTCTCTTTCAGGACTGAAAGGGTACACAGAACACTTGTATGCTGTGCAGAAGTGCCTATGAGCCTATTTCCATGGAGTTTGTGAGTAGGTAAGAGGTAGGAAGGGAGTGTGCACTCACATATTGATGTCACAGCACCATGGATGATGGGGTAGTCCTGAAAAAACGGGGCTACACTTTAGGTGTCAACCTGGGGGAGGGGTCATATGCCAAAGTCAAGTCTGCCTACTCTGACCGGCTGAAGACTAATGTGGCCGTTAAAATCATCGACAGGAGGAAGGCCCCCGCTGATTTCCTGGAGAAATTTCTGCCCCGTGAGTTGGAAATCTTGGCTATGCTCAATCACCGCTACATCGTAAAAACCTTTGAGATTTTTGAGACTTCAGATGGAAAGGTTTACATTATAATGGAGTTGGGTGTTCAGGGAGATTTACTGGAGTTCATTAAAACAAGGGGGGCTTTACCTGAGGAGGTATCACGTAAGATGTTCCGTCAGTTGGCACTGGCTGTCAAGCACTGTCATGAGCTAGGTGTAGTCCACCGGGATTTAAAGTGCGAGAATCTCCTTCTAGATAAGGACTTCAACGTCAAGCTCTCAGACTTTGGTTTTGCCAAGCGATGCAGTACAGATGATCAGGGACGACCCTTGCTCAGCAAAACCTTTTGTGGCTCTGCAGCATATGCAGCTCCTGAAGTCCTGCAGGGCATTCCTTACCAGCCCAAAGTGTATGATGTTTGGAGCCTTGGGGTAATCCTTTTCATCATGGTGTGTGGATCGATGCCGTACGATGACTCCAACATCAAAAGGATGCTTAGGATTCAGAAAGAGCATAGGGTGGATTTTCCCCGTTCAAAGGTGGTTCCTGCAGACTGCAAGGAACTGATCTATCGTATGCTCCACCCTGACACGAGCAAACGGCTCACCATTGAAGAGGTCCTGGAACATCCTTGGCTCTTTACTGCCAAAATCAAAGAAACAACTTCAACCAAAAAAGTGGAACAAAGCACAGAGAAGAAAGACGAGAAGAGAGACGAGAAGCATGGCCACACCAAGGACGACCGACATGAAGGAAAAACAGAGCAGAAGCGAGATGCAAAATACCAGTGGGAAATTGAAACAGGCCATGAATGGGTGGACATGAAACATGAGGCAAAACATGAGTGGATGAACATGAAGCGGGACAAAGCAGATGGCAAGCATGAAGCTGAGCATAAAGACGAGACCAGGAATGAGGGGAAATCCGATTTCAAGGGCAGCATCTCACCTCAGGAAGCAAGGGACACAAAGCACCATTCCAAAGTACCAAGATCTGACCACAGGAGTGGAACCAAGACTGGTTCAAGGGTGGAAAAGTCTCTAAATCAAGATGCCAGAACCGACCCTGAAACTGACAGCAGACTGGAACCAAGAACAGATACAAAGGGCAGCAGGCGCAAATCGAGAAGCTTGAGACTAACTGATGAGGATCATCCTGATGACAGCGAGGTCTATCCTGACCAGGAGAGCTTCATTGAAGCACAGAGCAAGGCAGAGCTGAAAAAAGTTAGTTCCAGAAAGTCAAAATCTATCGAAAAACGGGGCAAACATTCGAGCAAATCTCGCACCTAGATATCAAGATAGACAAAAGTTCAACTACCCAGTAAAAACAACCAACCTCTGAACCAGTCATCTGTTTTACTGCTTATAAAAGAAATCTAATAAAGAACCAGGAAGAAACTAACGAACTTTTAATATTTACAGTGAGACTATAGCAGAGTTTGCAATACAATATAGCAAAGTGACCCCTGCACTTACTGACTACATTAGTTCCTGATTTTAAAATTCTCATATTTGTTTTAAAATCTCTCCACAGCCTCATCCATTTGTACGCTAAACACTTCCAATGCACCCACCCCCTTACCAAAATCACCTCCAGCTTTGCAGAGAACTCTACTGCAAGATTTCTGCTGTACTCTAATTCTGAATGCTTCTCCATCTTCAACATTAATCATTTCAATATTAGTGGTTATGCTTTTAGTTGCCTGGGCACTAAGCTTTGGAATCCCCCACTTTAAATCTCACTAGTCAATTTCGTCCTTTAAGATGCACCTTAAAACATTTATATTTAACATGCATTTGGTCACCTGCATTAATATCTCTCTAGCTTCATGTTGTATTGGGTTCGTAAAACAGTTTCACAGGAGCAATATCAATGTAAAGTAATTGGGGCTCACTTTCCAGTACAGTTCTGAGGGTATGCCATACTGTCAGAAGTGCCATTTTTCAGATAACGAACGAAAAAGAGGTCTTGGTTATCTCTTTGGTGCTTGTAAGAGATGGCATGGTAGCATTTTAAAGATGGGGATGGGCAATGGCAGGGTAAGTAATGCTGCTGGACTAGTAATTCAGAACGCCCGGTTAATGTTCTGGGGACATGGTCATTAATCCCACCCTGGCAAAGAGTGAAATTTGAATTCAATAAAAATCTGGAGTGAAAAACTGGCTTGATGGCAACCATGTTGTCAAAAATCCATCTGATTCACTAATGTTCTTCAGGGAAGAAAATCTGCCATTCTTACCTGGTCTGGCCTAAGTATAACTCCAGACCTACAGTAATGTGATTGACTTTTAACATCCAATGAACAAATATTTTTAAAAATTCAAAGAGTGAAGGAGTTATCTCCATGCCCTGACTAATATATACCCCTCAATTAACATCACAAAAAACAGATTATCTATGAATGATATCATTGCCTTTGTGGGCATTATTTGTGTGTAAGTTGGAAATTGGTTGCCATGTTTCCTACATTACAACAGTGACTATGCTTTGAAAGTATTTTATTGGCTGTACAGCACTTGGAGATGTTAAGTGGCCATGAAAGGCACAATGTGAACACAAGTCTTTTTTCTCTATTAACAAAATGTTGCTGCTGCTTTTATTAAAGCATTGCTTGATGAAAGCAAAGAGCTAGGACCTGAGAATGACACATGGTTCAGTCAATCAGTGCCTGAAACAGGAGAAACAAATTCAGTCCAGGAAAAGAAATCTGGTGAATGAGGATGATATAAAATGAAAGGTGGGGTTAGGAAGGACAATCCGGTTCTCGAGCTCTTCATGATTTCCTACTGCTCGGCAACCATATTCAGTTCTGCCATTGCTTCATCAGGACAGACTGATCTGCAGAGTCTTATTCTCTGCACCTTCTGGTCTGGACCATTCCAGCTAATAACATGAAGCCACTGACAGAACTTTACTCCTTTTCCTTCTCTCAGTATCTCACTCATTGTCTGCCTCAAATCTTGGTCATTCAGTTTACAGGAGCTCAGTGCTGCTGGGCCTGGTTGATAATCCATCAGGTGCTGACTTTGAACCACACTGGGGACAAACAATGAAACTGAATTTAGTCAGTGGTTGGCACTGGGTTATGAGCATGAAGCCTGCCATCTTGGGATAAAAAGCTTAGCATGTCCTTGAGATAGGGAAACCTGCCTCCCTTGCCTATAGGTGACTCCAATATCTTCGCCTGCTTGAATTAATGCTCTCAAAGATTATGTAGATTAGCAAAGTGTACTGCACACAGCTCAAAAGGACACTCAAATACAATGCAGCTTTCGCTTAAAAAGAATTTACATTTCAATCTATTTAATGTTTAGTTAATGCAAATTAAATTTCATATCTCTTTCCTTCTTCTCTGTACTCCCCAATCCTCGTTATACTGCCACATGGCTTCTAATTTGAAAATCTTTACCTTGAATTTTTTCAAAAAATGCAATGGAGATGCACTGTTTTTTCAGTATTTACCACTGGAGCATTTATTACAGGGGCAAAAATGACTTGATTAATTGACAAGAATAATAGAAATTGTCAAACCATATTGTGCTGTAATGGATTGTGCCCTTACCTGATGCACCTACCATTGCAAAAATGCCTTCATAAAAATGCAAAGGCAGACAGAGCCATGGAGTGAATTATCATTCAGCTGAGAGACAGAGCTCGGTCATTGACATTGAACCAATAACCAGCCTAATCGAGGGCTGTCTCCACCCTGCAGTCCGCTTGAAGTGTTACAACTCCAGAAACCCAAAGAAGAAAAAGACATCACCAGCCACAGCTCACTGCCTAGGACAGGAGCACGGGAATGCCCAAGGAGGTTTAAGGACAACAAGCAACATTACGACAACAGAAACAGCACATGGAGAGAGCCAGGAGGTGCAGAAGAGGGAAGGGCAAAGTCAGGGGCATGGGGAGAACAAGGGTAGTGGTTGGGGGCTGGGGGGGGGATGGAGGAATCATGGGATGGAGGAGACCAAAGAGAGATTAAGGCATACAGTCATACAGAGAGATGTGGAGGGAGAGAGCGAAAGATTTATGGAGAAAAACAGAAACACACATATGGAGGGAAAGAGAGACAGACATATAGAAGGATAAAGAAAGAAAGAAAGAGAATGACAGAAAGGAGGAGGGAGAGAGAGAGAGAGAGAGAAAGAGGAGAGAAAGAGAGAAATAAATTGAGATATAGAGAGGGCAGAACAGGGCACAGGTGGAAGGGTGAAGGGGGCAAAGAGAGGGCGTGGATAAGAATATATGTAACAAAGAGAGGGGAAGGGAGGGGAAAATAAAGAGAGGAGGTGGGGTGGCGAGGGGTGATGGTGGAGGAGGAGAGGGGAGGAATGATGGAGGAGGAGAGGAGAAGGGAGGGGTGATGGGAGGGGTGACGGAGGAAAGAAGAGGAAGGGGAGGGCGACAGAGGAAAGAGGAGAAGGGAGGGGTGACACTTGAGGAGAGGGGGGGGGGGGAGGAGGAGGGGGGAGGGGGACAGAAGATAGGAGGGGTGAGGGGAGGGGGACAGCGGAGGAGGAGTGGAGAGTGGTGATGGAGGAGGTGAGGGGTGACGGAGGACAAGAGGAGAGGGGATGGGTGACAGAAGAGGAGGAGAGAATAGGGGAAGGGGACAGAGGAGGAGGAGACAAGGGGGAGGGGGTTGGAGGAGGAGAGGAAGGGAAGTGGTGACAGAGGAGGAGAGGAGTGAGGGTAGGTAGAGGGGGAGAGGAGAGGTGAGAGGTACAGAGCAGAAGAGGAGAGGGTGATGGAGAAGGGGAGGGAACTCCGCCAGGATGTTGCCCAGGGTAAGTTGGGTTTTCAAGAAAGTATGTCCAATTTGCCCACATTTTCATATCAAAACCATTCAAACTAATAAACAGCTTCAATTTGAAAACAGCTCAGATGCTGTCTCCTCCAGGTTCAAGGTTGACAGCGAAGGGTTGAGCAAGTTTGTCTGTAGTTCACAGGAGACAAGTGAACACTGATATTAATAAATAATGGAAATAGTTTCCAGAGTTCTAAGTGCAGGTATACTGCAGGCACCAAGAAGCTGGAGCAGTGGTGGCACTGGATCATCAGAAACATTTAGTTGAGCAGCTCTGTGACTGTATGCACTGCAAGCCTCACTGTGGGATGTACCAATTATTCATTGCTCAATCATCATTACGTCAGAGACGTTACAAGCTCACAAGTTATAGTTGAGCTGGCAAAGACAGAGCTAGAATCAACAGTAATTGCAAGTTGCACAAAGACCAAGTTTGTTGAATCAGAAAGGATCCTTTGGCAGGGAAATTGTGCATGTACGTCAGTATGAATGTGAATAAACATGAAATCGTCTTTACTTCTCAAATATTTCCATTATTTTTGCGACATATTTCAGATTTCCAAAATCATCATAATCAGCTCTTGTGAGTTGAAGGGGCAGTGAGGCGCTTGGTTGTGGAGGAATGTGTTCAGCACTAGGACAGGTCAGCAACTTTCTTCCTCTTGGGCAGCTGCAGTAGATTATCAGTGATAGAGGTGGGGTCCTGGCTGCCCGGAGTGTGCAAGGCACCAAGAGCATTAGGCGTTACACCAGCGCATGGTGTTTTACAATGTGGCGTTTGTTTGGGAGCTGGTGATGGGGTGTAACTAGCGCGTAAAGCTCTGTCCGTATACTTGCTGGATGTCCGGTTGACAAGACGCTGCAAGGCTGGTGACATCACAGGGCTGATTCCATGTGGAGACAGACTGGGAAAGACAGAGATAGAGAGAAAGAAATATATCCATGAGCTCACAGACTAAAGCTTACAAAAAAAAAATCAACCCAATCATTACTTTTTATACATTTCACTTTCCTCCCAAGGCAAGCTTATCAATCACTTCCATGCTGCTTTCCAAACCAGGACCAGAAATCATCCCCATCAACCCCATCCTCCAAACTTAAGGGGAAACCAGTGCATGAGGTAAATTTGACTTTCAGTAGGTTTTTGATAAGGTTTCACACAAGAGGTCAGCAAACAAAATTAGTGCACATTAACTGGTGGTTGAAGGTGGGGTTTGGAGCTTGTGATGGAGGTATACTGACGTGAATTGAGAAACATAGAAAATAGGTGCAGGGGTATACAATCATGGCTAATCACGCAATCTGAGTATCCCATTCCCGTCCTCATCCATACCCACTGATCCCTTTAGCCACAAGGGCCACATCCAGCTCACTCTTGAATATATCTAATGAACTGGTCCCAACAGCTTCCTGTGGGTGAGAATTCCACAGGTTCACAACTCCTCAAGTGAAATAATTCTTCCTCATCTCAGTCATGAATAGCTTATCCCTTATTCTTAGAATATGATCCCTAGTTCTGGACATCCCCAACATTGGGAACATTCTTCCCACACGTTGCCTGTCCAGTCCCATCAGGATTTTATATGTTTTAATGACATATCCCTTCTTCTAAATTCCAGTCTTTCCTCATATGTCAGTCCTACCATCCAGGGAATCAGTCTGGTGAGCCTTCGCTGGACTCCCTCAATAGCAAGAATGTCCTTCTTCAGACTAGGACACCCCCAAAACTGCACACAATACCCAAGATGCAGCCCCACCAAGGCCCTGTAGACCTGCAGCAAGGCATTCTTACTCCAATACTCAAATCCTTTTGTTATGAAGGCCAGCATGCTATTAGCTTTCCTCACTCCCTGCTGCACCTGCATGCCAACCTTCAGCGGCTTTTTTTCAATTCATTTTTTGTGGGATGTGGTATCAGTAGATGGGCCAACATTTCTTGCCCATCCTTAGTTGCCCTTGAGAAGGTGGTGGTGAGCTGCCTTCTTGACCAGCTGCAGTCCACCAGCTGTAGGTTGACCCACAATGCCATTAGAGAGGAAATCCAGGATTTTGACTCAGCGACAGTGAAGGAATGGCGGTATATTTCCAAGTCAGGATGGTGAGTGGCTTGGAGATGGTGGTGTTCCCATTTGTCTGCTGCCCTTGTCCTTCTCGATGGAAGTGGTCGTGGGTTTGGAAAGTGTTGTCTGAGGATCTTTGGTGAATTTCTGCAGTGTATCTTGTAGATAATACACACTGCTGCTACTGAGTGTTGGTGGTGGAGGGAACGGATGCCTGTGAACGTAGTACCAATCAAGCGGGCTGCTTTGTCCTGGATGGTGTCAAGCTTCTTGAGTGTTGTTGGGGCTGCACTCATCCAGGCAAGTGGGGAGTATTCCATCACACTCCTGACTTGCGCCTTGTAGATGGCAGACACGCTTTGAGGAGTCAGGAGGCGAGTTACTCGTCGTAGTATTCCTAGCTTCTGGCCTGCTCTTGTAGCCAGTGTGTTTATGTGGTGAGTCCAGTTGAGTTCTTAGTCAATGATGACTCACAGGATGTCGATAGTGGGGGAATTCAGTGATGATAACACCACTGAATGCCAAGAGGTGGTGGATAGATGGTCTCTTATTCATGATGGTCATAGGCTGGCATTTGCATGGCACAAATGTTACTTGCCACTTGTCAGCCCAAGCTTGGATATTGTCCAGATCCTGTTGCATTTAAACGTGGAGTGCTTCAGTATCGGAGGAGTCACGAACGTGCAATGCTCAGCACCAATCATCGAACATCCCCACTTCTGACCTTATGATGGAGGGAAGGTCATTGATGAAGCAGCTGAAGATGCTACCGTGAGGAGCACCTGAAGAGATGTCCTGGAGCTGAGATGACTGACCTCCAACAACCACGACCATCTTCCTATGTGTCAGGTATGACTCCAACCACCAGAGTTTGCCCCCTGATACCCACTGATTCCAGTTTTGCAAGGGTTCCTTGCTGCCACACCTGGTCAAATGCAGCCTTGATGTCAAGGGCTGTCACACTCACCTCACCTCTGGAATTCAGCTCTTTTATCCATGTTTTAACCAAGGCTGTAATGAGGTCAAGGGCCGAGTGGCCCTGGCAGAACCCAAACTGGGCGTCAATGAACAGGTTATTGCTGAGCAGGTGCTGCTTGATAGCACTGTTGATGACACCTTCCATCGCTTTACTGATGATTGAGAGTAGACTGATGGGGCAGTAATTGGCCAGGTTGGTTTGTCCTGCTTTTTGTGTATAGGACACACTTGGGCAATTTTCCACATTGCCGGGTAGATACCAGTGTTGTAACTGTACTGGAACAGCTTGGCAAGGGGAGCGGCAACTTCTGGAGCTCATGTCTTCAGTACTATTGCCAGAATGTTGTCAGGGGCCCGTAGCCTTTGCGGTATCCAGTGTCTCCAACCATTTCTTGATATCACGTGGAGTGAATGGAATTGGCTGAACACTGGTATCTGTAATGTTGGGGACCACTGAAGGAGACTGACACCTCATCTTCAGGTATATGCCTGGTGCTGCTCCTGGCATGCCCTCCTGCACTCTCCATTGAACCAGGGGATGATCCCCTGGCTTGATGATAATGGTTGAGTGGGGGATATGCCAGGCCATGAGGTTACAGATTGTGCTGGAGTACAATTATGCTGCTATTGATGGCCCACAGCACCTCATGGATGCCCAGTCTTGAGTTGCTAGATCTGTGTGAAGTCTGTCCCATTTAGCATGGTGATAGTGCCACACAACATGATGAAGGTTATTCTCAATGTGAAGGTGGGATTTCATCTCCACAAGGACTGTGTAATGTTCACTCTTACCGATACTGTCCTGGCTAGATGCAACTGCAGCTAGCAGATTAGTAAGGATGAGGTCAAGTATGTTTTTCCCTCTTGTTGGTTCCCTCACCACCTGCCACAGACCCATTCTAGCAGTTATGTCCTTCAGGACCCGACCAGCTCGATCAGTAGTACTGCTGCTGAGCCACTCTTGGTGGTGGACATTGAAATCCCCCACCCAAAGTACATTTTGTGCCCTTGCCATCATCAGTGCTTCCTCTAAGTGTTGTTTAACATTGAGGAATTATGATTCATCAGCTGAGAGAGGACAGTATGTGGTAATCAGCAGGAGGTTTCCATGTCCATGTTTAACCTGAAGCCATGAGACTTCACAGGATCCTGAGTCAATGTTGAGGACTCCTAGAGCAACACTCTCCTGACTGTATACCACTGTGCCACCATCTCTGCTGAGTCTGTCCTGCCTGTGGGACAGGACATATCCAAGGATGGTGAGGGTGGTGTCTGGGACATTGTCTATAAGGTATGATTCCTTGAGCATGACTATGTCAGGCTGTTGCTTAACTAGTCTGTGAGACAGACCTCCCAATTTTGGCACTAACTTTGCAGGGTCGACGGGGCTGTTTCTGCCATTGTCTTTTCTGGTGCCTAGGTCGATGCCAGTTGATCTGTCCAGTTTCACTTCTTTGAGACTTTGTAGTGAATGGTACCACTGAGTGGCTTGCTAGGCCATTTCAGAGGGCAGTTGAGAGTCAACCACATTGCTGTGGGTCTGGAGTCACATGTCGGCCAGACCAGGTGAGGGTGGCAGATTTCCTTCCTGAAGGACATTAGTGAACCAGTTGGGTTATTCCAACAATCGGCAATGATTTCATGGTGATCAGTAAATTCTTAATTCCAGACTATTTTTTTTAATTATTGAATTTAAATTTCACCATCTGCTGCGGTGGTATTCGAACCCAAGTTCTGGATTTATAGTCTAGCGATAATACCACTAGGCCATTGCCTACCCTACTGTTCCACCATGACACCCATTTCTCGTTGCATCTCACATTTTCCTAAACTGCCACTAATCAGATTAAAACCTGCCTTCCTGTTTTTGCCACCAAAGTGGATAACCTCACATTTATCCACATTATATTGCATTTGCCAAGTATTTGGCCACTCGGCCAGCCTGTTCACCCTGCAGCCTCTTAGCATTCTCCTCACAGCACACACTGCCACCCAGCTTCATATCATCTGCAAATTTGGAAGCAGGGCATTCAATTCCTTCAAAGGAATTGTATGTTGTGAACAGCTGAGGTGCCACCACTGAACCCTGCAGCACCCCACTTGTCACTGCCTGCTACTCTGAAAAGGACCATTTATTCCAACTCTCTGCTTCCTGTCTGCCAAGCAGTTCTCTATCCATGTCAATACATTACCTCCGATACCATGAGCTTTAACTTTCCTTTAATCTCTTGTGTGGAACCTTGTCAAAAGCCAAGTACACAACCTCTGCTGATTCATCCTTGTCCACTCAACTGATCACATTCTCAAAAAATTCCAGAAGATTTGTCAAGCGTGATTTCCCTTTAGTAAATCCATGCTGTCTAGGACCGATTCTGTCACCGCTTTCCAAATGTTCAGTTATTACGTTCTTAATTGACTCCAACATTTTCCCAACACCGATGTCAGGCTAACTGGCCTTTAATTCCCCATTTTTTCTCTCCCTCCTTTTTAAAAAAAGTGGGGTTACATTAGCTATCCTCCAGTTCATCGGAACTCTTCCAGAATCTACAGAATGCTGGAAAATGATCACCAATGCAAGTGCTCTTTCTAGGGCCCCTTCCTTAAGTACTCTGCTTTGCAGGCTCTGGGGACTTACTGTGTTTTAATCCCATCAGTTTCCCCAATACCATTTCCTGACTAATAATTATTTCCTTCAGTTCCTCCTTCACGCTTGTCCCTCTGACCCCTTGCATTTTCGGAAGGCCATTTGTGTCCACCTTAATGAAGGCAGATCCAAAGCATTGGTTCAAGTTGTCTGCCACCTCTTTGTTGTCCACTATGAATTCACCTAATTCTAAGTGCAAGGGACCTACATTTGTCTTCATCAGTCTTCTTCTCTTGACATATCTATAGAAGCTTTTTCAGTCAGTTTTTAAGTTTTCTGCAAGCTTACTTTTATATTCTATTTTCCCCTTTCAAATTAAACTCTTTGTCCTCCTCTGCTGAATTTTAAATTCTCCTAGTCCTCAGGTTTGCTGCTTTTTCTGGCCAATTTATATGCCTCCTCTTTGGCTTTAATACTATCCCTGATTTCCATAATATCTATCAACGATCTGGATGAAAGCAAAATACTATGAATGCTGGAGTCCCAAAGATGTCATATTGGACTCGAAACATTAATTCTGTTCCTCTATCTCTATGGATACTGCACACCTGCTGAATTTCTCCGGCACTTTATGTTTTTGTCAAATATTTGGACAAGGGGATTAAATGTAATATTTCCAAGTTTGAGGATGACATAAAACAAGGAAGGATTTTGCTTTGTGAAGTGGATGCAAATGGATGGAAAGAAATGGCAGGAAAAAAAATTTTTTAAATGTTGAGAGCTGGAAAGTGTTGAACTTCAAAGGGATTTGGATATACTTGGTCATGAGACACTGAAAATGAACATGCTGGCTGAGGAAGCAATTAGGAAGACAAATGATGTGTTGGCTTCTGTTACAAAGAGGATTTGAGTACAGGAGTAAAGACTCTTTACTGTAGTTATATAGTGCCTGGGTAGACTGTGTATAGTTTTGGTCTCCTTTCTTGCCAAAAAGGGAGCGCAACAAATGTTCACCAAACCAATCTCTGGCTTAACAGGATTGTTCTATTGGAAAAGATTAAATAGACTGAGAATAGACCATTTTCTCTAGAGTTTAGAAGAATGAGGGGTGATCTCATTCAAACTTACAAAGCTCTTACAAGGATTTTTTTCTCTATTCATTTGTGGGATGTGGGCATCGCTGGCTGGTCAGCATTTCTTGCCCATCCCTAGTTGCCCTTGAGAAAGTGGTGGTGAGCTGCCTTCTTGAACTGCTGCAGTCTTCCTGCTGTGGGTTGACCCACAATGCTATTAGGGAGGGAATTCCAGGATTTTGACCCAGCGACAGTGAACGAACGGCAATATATTTCCAAGTCAGGATGGTGAGTGACTTGGAGGGGAACTTAGAGGTGGTGGTGTTGCCATATGTCTGGTGCCCTTGTCCTTCTAGATGGAAGTGGTCGTGGGTTTCAAAGGTGCTGTCTGAAGATCTTTGGTGAATTTCTGCAGTGCATCTTGTAGATAGTACACACTGCTGCTAAAGAACCTCGGTGGTGGAGGGAGTGATTGCTTGTAGATGTAGTGCCAATCAAGCGGGCTGCTTTGTCCTGGATGGTGTCAAGCTTGTTGAGTATTGTTGGGGCTTCACTCATCTAGGCAAGTGGGAAGTATTCCATCACGCTCCTGACTTGTGCCTTGTAGATGGCGGACATGCTTTGAGGAGTCAGGAGGTGAGTTACTTGTCGTAGTTTACCTAGCTTCTGGCCTGCTCTTGTAGCCACTGTGTTAATGTGGTGTGTCCAGTTGAGTTTCTGGTCAATGGTAACCCCCAGGATGTTGATAGTGGGGGATTCAGTGATGGTAACACCATTGAATGCCAAGGGGCAGTGGTTAGATTGTCTCTTATTGGTGATGGTCATAGCCTGGCATTTGCAGGGTGCGAACGTCACTTGCCACTTGTCCTGATCTCATTATAGCCTTTGTTCAAACATGGACAAAAGAGCTGAATTCCAGAGGTGAGGTGAGGTGAGAGTGACAGTCCTTGATATCAAGGCTGCATCCAACCGAGTGTGGCATCAAGGAGCCCTAGCAAAACTGGAATGAATATCAGGGGGCAAACTCTCCGTTGGTTAGTGTCATACCTGATACATAGGAAGATGGTCATGGTTGTGGGAGGTCAAAATCTCAGCTCCAGGACATCTCTGCAGGAGTTCCTCAGGGTAATGTCCTAGGCCCAACCATCTTCAGCTTCTTCATGAATGACCTTCCCTCCATTATAAGGTCAGAAGTGGGGATGTCCACCAATTTGGTGTATGCAAGGAAGATGTTTCCCTGCCTGCTGGATCTAGAACCAGAGGGGTCACAGTCTCCAAATAAGGGACAGGCTGTTTAGAACTGATTTCAGGAATTTCTTCACCTTTGGTGAGTTTTTGGAATTCTTTGTCCAGATGGCTGTGGAGACTCAGTTGTTGAGATCGTATGTTCAAGACTGTGATTGATTGATTGATTTGGTCAAACATATTTTCAAAAAGATTGGAAAAATATTCAAGTATCAAGAGATCAGTTGTGATCTCGCTGAATAGTAGAATGGGCTTGAAGGCTTGAATGGACTACTCTTGCTATTTTAGGCTCTCTTGGTGTCCCAGTTTGTACTGTGTACAACTCATTAGTTTCAAGGACTGCTCTTAAATGGTGAGTGTGTGTAATCTTAAATGGAAGCAGACTATTTAACTGCAGAGTGCATTGTAGCCTGGCCTGGTTTTCACTATTTTCCCACAGGTATGCAATGCAGACCAGTTGTAGCTCATGGCAATTAGAACCACACTGCCTTAGCTCAGCACAGCAGAACATCACACCCCCATAACCTTGCCTAAACAGTCCAGCAGTGAGAAATCTCAGTTATGATGGTAGCTTGTAGAATTTGGAACTGCTTTTTTTGAAAGAAGAAAGCCGAGCAGAGATTTGTTAGAAGCTTTTAAAATCATGAAGAGTGTGGACAAAGTAGAGAGGGATAAACTGTTCCCAGTGGTAAGAGGATTGAGAACCAGAGGGTTCACATTTAACATGCTTTGCAAGAAAAGCAATGTGAGGTCAGAAAAAAAAAACATTTTCACACATTGAGTGGTTCGGCTCTAGAATGCACTACCTGGAAGTGGCATGAGATAATTATTAAAAGAGAAACAATGCACAGTATTAAAGGGTAAAAGCAGGAGATTGGCACTAAGCCAAAGTGTTCAGAGAGCTGGTGGAGATATGATGGGCCGAGACCTCCTCCCACATTATAATAATTGAGACTCCAATTCATCAATCCAAAATACTTCACAACATTAAAATTATTAAAGTGGTCTGTTAAGCAATGTCCTACCAACAGCCACTTGGAAATGAGTTGAGCATGATGTGCCTACTGGCATTCTGTTCAATGTGTCACTAATCTTGCCAGTAGGACATTGCTGAATATAGCTCTCTCTTACCTGGCCCACAGTATAACGCAGCCCAGTGTTATGCTGGGCTGAAGACATGTTTCCCAACTCTCTCAAGGACTAAATCTAACAGCTGTAAAGAGTCCATTGGTACATTCAGTGACCTTGCCTGCTGGGCACAAGATGCCTAGCCAACCCTGGGCCAAGGCAAAGCACCAGCTGTAACTGTTAGTGCAGGGAGTCAATCTCACCTGGCCAGACTCTGTGTGGCCTTTCGCAGAGCTTCCTGCTTCTTGGTTCTGTTCTTAGCAGCAACCTCATTGACCATTTTTAGGCCTAACCTTTCTCTGCGACCTGGTTCGAGAATCTGTCAGAAAGAGACATACTCTGGCATCAAAGGGAAACAAATCACAGTAATTAAACAGCTACTTTCCTGAAATGGCTTAGTTCATTATTCTTGTTGATGTCAGTACCCCAGAAAAAGCCCAGCCACAGTTCTACAGAACGGAGAATCTGCCTGCTACAAAGACCAAAAGCCAACTATTTGGATGCAAGCCTTAGTTTTTAATATTATGATGGATAGCAAAGTTGTCACAGCTCAGACTGATCATATAAGCTTCGACATAAAGCTGAAGGGAAACTGGGCTGTTAATCTCCATTACAAACACAGTGAAACACCAATCTCGATATATTCATATTGCCTCATACAGGAGCAATATAAAGCAAAATGTGAGCAATTTGAAATAAAACCAGATTGCTGAAACCATTCAAAAACATGAGCAACATCAGAGGAAAACAGGAGCAAATGCATTAGGTTGATAATTGTCCATTCTGATACCTACATACTTTCAGTATTGTTTTGTTTTTAGTATGACACTGACCAGTCAGACTGAGAGTGGCGTTGCTCTCAGAGGGAGTGGACAGTGAGGGGTGTGCTGTTGGACTGCTAGGGCCGGGGGGCTTTTGGAATGCAAGTCTGAGGGGAGGCTATGGTACTGTGGTGGGGGGGGTGTTGTTGGACTGCAAGGGGAGGTGCTGTTGGACAGCGAGAGCGTAGGGGGTGCTGTCGGACTGTGAGGGCTTGGGGGTCAGACTGTGAAGGGGTCAATCTCAGAGGGTGTCAGACAGTGAAGGGCCATGTCCTACAGCAGGCCAATAGGGGAATTGGGGTGAAAGATTCTCTATCCTGACTGCATGCCCCAACCCCCCTGCCTGGCCTATCCTGTTCTCATTTACCTTAAATGCTGGTCCTGGCGTCCTGTCTACATTAGGACTTTCCGAACTCTCCAGACGGAATGGAGTGCCTTCAATCTCACCCCACGTCATCATCGGGGAGTCATTCACACCTACAGGTACACAAGCTGCAGTCAATAACCTGGTCTTTAATGCTTGGTTACAAAATAGCTTTTGTGGTGC